TTTGCTCTAAATTAATTAACATAAAAGTTTGAAAAACCATAAGTATCCAAGTTTCATAACAAAAATCAAAGTGCTTAAAATTATGGGAGGTAATGGGTTAAAGAGCTGTACATACAGTGGAGCACAGAGCTCGTCACATGAAACGCTCGCCTTGCGAAACGCAGCCAATCAAGCTGCATCAGTTCACTGACTGGCTGCAGGCGACCGAGTACCCACGCCCTAGGAGCAGGACTATACAGCGGACACAGGCGCGCGCACACACGCCCTGACAACTCGTTAACCGAGCGCAAGCCCGTCAATCGAAACAAATTTTCTTCGGGTGGCTCGCTCGTTACCTGAAATTCTCGTAGATGGAGCTGCTCGTCACCCAAAGCTACTCAAGTCGATACCTAGACAAACACGCAAAAATCCCGAAATGGAGAAGAAGTAGATGCAATCGCTGGAATGAACTGTCTTCGCCTGAAGTCTGCTGTTCATGCTCGAATCCAGTATCAGAGACAGGTACTCCAAACAGAAGGAGTTGCAGTCGCTGTGCTTCCGCATAACAGTTAACAGCCCCCGCCCCCTCCGTCGAGTATGGTTGCTGTATGGTGCGGTAATTGCTTGATGGCTGGCATGTGGGCCGTTTGTCTGCTGAATATTAATCAGCCATGATGAGGGTTCGGCCACCGGCATTGCCATTCGAAAATGTGTTCGTCTACGTGTTGCACGAGTGGTTGGTTGTTTGAAACAAACTAAGTCTTAGCACAGAGTATGTGTTGGGGAGGTCGTTGCAGTTAATAATAGACGGGGGGCCCGTAAGCAGCTCACGAGTCGCTAAGTTTGTTTGCGCTTGCGCCGATTGGCGAAGCTGTGCGAGTATGTATGTTCTTTGAACATCCGTTGAAGATATTGCAATTCAGTATGTTGGCCTTCCAGTACGCTGCATTACGGTTCAACACGCCGACATAGAACCCTTACACAACTGCAGTCACTGCGGCCTATGAGCATAGTGCACCTTCAACAGAAAATTAAATACCTTGAACGGTAGTGAGGCAACCGAAGCAGTCGTTTGTTGTTTCAGAAAAGCTGTCGAGACATGCACAGTGCACAGAGCGTTCCCATATTCGTCATGAAAATTAAATTAATGTCCCTTATGTCGACAATGTATGTGCGGTCAAGACTGTTCTGGAGCATCAAGGTGCATGTTCTAAGGGAAAAGGGTATGCAAAGCGAGGTGAGAACTACAGCTAACAAACTCTTAGAAACGCGGGTGCAAAGGCTCTGCGCCCGTTCCAGTCGAGACTGAAAATGGAATCGACCAGAATGCCGAATTGCTCTAGTGGTCTTCTCCCACACCGTTTTTAATGGCATAAATTTTAGACACAACTTATGCTGGTGCTTGGTACGACTGTTATCATGCCTGATCTATTTGGCCCGGATGGTGTCGCGAACTGTACCTCTCCACGCCCGACTATCTACGGCAACAGATCTGGACAATTCAATCCATTCTTTTCGCCAACTACGAAGACCGAATGTTCAAGAACCACTTCCATGCCTTGAGGAACTGTGTCCTGCCAAGTTTTGGGCTGACCCCCACTTTAAAGCCTCCAACTGGGTAGCGAGGGCAGTAACACTGAGCTCGTGAGGTGAGCGCCGAAGAACGAACCCAGACTAACTCAGTCCTCTTTCTTCAATGGGCTGGGATATCTGTGCGAGGTTATCGAAGTGAGTGCGGACTGTCTAATTTAAAACAAATGTGGGGTACTTCACTTGAAAGATGGTCCTTAAGCAGTGGCAGTCAAATGCGTCAACTTTTCGTTGAGCTTTCACACACAGAACCCAAAATTTACTACCATAAAGAAGGACAGACCGGACGGATGTACGGTAAACACAATTGGTTGTGGTGATGGAGATGTCACGTTGGTGCCATGGACACTTTGCAAGGCTCAACAAAAGTCGATGAGCAGCATCGATTCGAGAGACAAAGTCAGTTATATTCTGTTTGCCAATACAAGCGAACATACGAGTCCAGCGATCAACCCTTTTTTATATACTCTGTTTATTCGGCAGCAGCCTCGACCCGAGTTATCTGAAACCGTCTTCTTTTTCTCCTTTTTTTTCTTCTTCTAAGTTGACAGTAATCAACCTTGAGTGGTGCCTTCTCCTGGTCAGGGATGCAGCTTAAAAACACTTTAATCTTGCCAGTGTTTATGGATAAACCGACCAATTTAGCAACCTCATTAACACGGGACACCATACACCACAAATAACTAAAACTTAGTAAGGCAACATCATCGGCGTGGTCGAGCTTAGTCAGCCGGCGTCCGGGGGCAAACTCTAAAAAGATCATATTTGTGTAGGGCCTTTCCGAGAATCCTGCCAGTAACGTAGTTGAACGGAATGGGCGATAAGACGCAATCTTGTCGAACGACAGACCGAATACCGAACTGTCGGGAAAGATTGTTATGGTGGGTAACCGACAAAGTATTGGGCCTACAACATAATTATCCTTCAGACCTTATCTTCGAGACAAAAGAATGGATTTAGATATAGAAGATGTGAATCTCCG